ATTTTCGTTTCAATGCCTGTATCAGTAGCGTCACAACACAATTTTATATGGGGCAATCAAAATATGAAAAAAAAACACATAACCTCAATTTTGCCCTAAACCAAACAAAATTTTAAGAAAGGGACCTTTATTTTAACCAAGGATTCCAAAAATGTCGAAATTAACAGGGTGTTCCTTTTAATATAACAAAGGTGATGTCGAGGGGACACTTTTGGGACACCCTGTAGCAACAATTTATAGTATTTTAAATCTTCAGGAGAATCCAAAAAAACTTTTGCACGAAAACTTTTTTCCCATCGTGGATCGTTATATTTGGCACACGGTGTACATTTTGAAAGAACATATGTAATTTGTTAACTAACCAAAACTATTTCTACGATCTATCAAATATCGACTTCGCATTCGTATTCGTTATGGTTAACCGTTTGAATTTGCCAATACAACTATAAAAATATAACTCACGATTATATTTGACACGAGCGGACCGAGTGTTTAATAAACGAGTGACTTAAAAAGTTTACCGAACGTGTTGCATACTATACTTTTTCTACACCAGTTGATTTTGGGTACATGTTCACAAAGCAACGGTACAGAATTCATTCACTGACAGAATTGACAAATGTCAAAATTCAAAGTGCAGGAAATATCTCCGAAAACATCCGATTGCTCCCAATCTCGTGCGGTAAAATCCCGGAAATGTCCGAAGTGCCTCGGATCCGTGGGAAACGAAACTGACGTGGTAAAGTGACGCTTCCAGCACTATAGATCGATGCACAATTAGGTATTTTACTGGCGGGGGTAGAAAAAACCAATTTATTTCAGTTCCAATGCGCCAAAATCGGAAACAAAATGGATACATTCGCCTATATGTACGAACGAACGTACGAGAACAAGATTTTCTCTTTAATCTCAGTTCGCTGCCGTACAAACAATAACGACGTAAGCCCGCGTCTCGTTGTCAAATTCAATCGATAACAAATTCCGAATAAACCGAACGATTTGTTTCCTTTGCTTCCGCTAAACGATTTCATCGATTCGGGAGTAATCCGCTAACCGTAAAATCTCCCATTTATCGCGTCCAATGGGTCTGCGGCCGCGAATTGTTTGATAACGTCAACGAAAATACGGGGCATTCGGTAGCGGGTCACTTAGAAACTCGTTCAGTTCACTATTTCATTGGTTTCAAAAGTCGTAAAGATCGTCCGGATGCATAATTTGAAGTTATTTTGAAGTATACAGAGAGGTTCAAATAAGCGTGACGAATACCCTATACATAACACAAACCTAAACCTAATAGTTTTTCCAATATTTTAATATTTCTAAAAAAAAATACTAGTTTTCACACTTGCAACAAAATTACAATAGCGCCTTATTTCTACGGTCAGGGTCACTCATATTTAATAAAAGCGTTAATCCAAGATGCTTTAAAATAGAACAAAAGGTATTCAGATTTTCACAATTAGTTATTGGCTGTTTTGGCAACACAAAATATGACAATATATAAACAGGTATTGTCTGTTCATAAATCTAAGAAAGTGACCAATTGCTTTTGAATGGGATTATCCAAGGATGGTCATTAACATACAATGCAACAAAATTATTACCTAAAGTTTCGGAATTTAAATTCAGCTAAAATTGTGGTCCGTAATAGAAAATAATTTTATACCTACTTGTGTTTAATATTTTTTGGTTTGGTATACAACTTAGTTTAAGTTTATTAGTAATCATTCTTATTTCGTATGTAATACAGCGTGTGTTGAATCGTGTGCGAATTATGCAAAATATGTGCGAATCTAGTGTATCTCAGGAGATGCTCCCGCCCAAATGTAGAAAACACTATTTGTTCTATTGAGACTAAGGAAGTTGAACGTGGTGCCAGCAAGCAAGCATCTTTAGAAGAAACGGCCACATTGACGAAAATTCCAACATCAACTGTATGGAAAATTGCAAATAATTCCATTTCATAGAAGAAAAAAAAGCGATGCTGACATTTTCTCGAGTGTAGATGAATGTGATCAAGATATAATACGGCGTAAAATTTACCAGTTATACGAGGAACAAGGCGTGTCTACATTAGATATCTTAATTGAAAAAGATGAAACCGGTGTTAAATGTGGCAGAACTACCTTATGGACGTGTATTCAACACATGGGTTTTAGATTAAAAAAAAAAGAATTTTTTAGAATTCGGAAATGGCGACTGGAATATCTAGAAAAAAATAGGATTTACAGAGAACAACAAAGGCCAATTATTTACTTGGATGAAACCTGATTCGACACTTATGATACCCCGAAAAAGTGTTGGGTTGACTTAACTGATAAGTGTAAAATAAATTTTCCTTTTAATTGTAATGGACAAGTTATCACAGTAGACGATTGACTAAATCCCCTTCCTCATGTGACACAAAAGCAACAATACAAAACGCAATTAATTGAGGTTCTACAAAGCTTGAACCTACAAAACGAATACGTCTGTGATAATACAGTTTTAAGGCTTCCACCTTACCACTCTATATTTCATCCCATTGAACATGTTTGGCACCAACTGAAATCTGCCATTCGTCGTAACATTGTTTTTCCCCGTGTTAACTCCAATGTCCTCAAACTTATAGAAACCGAAGTTTTTAACATCCCTCCACAAAGTTGGGCAAATTCGGTTAAACATATAGAAAAAGCAGAACAATCGCATATCCATATTGCAAATAATATGAAACAAATAATAATTAGAACAGGCGATGATAGCGATAGTGATACTGATATATTATGTGAATAATTTCAAGTAATTTAAGTAGGTAATAAAAATAATTTGTAATTTTATTTTAGATTTAGATTAGATTGTTTAGTATCTTTCCTAACAAAACCCCAAATAAATAAATTTTAAACAGCGTACGGACCTGTTCGGCCATATTTCATTTTTACAGCTTGCCCAGGTCTTTCCTTAATTCCCATCAGTTAGTCACTTTCTTATATCTATGAACAGACTTTACTCCTAATATAAAATCCAATTTAAGCACCCATTTAAATCCAATTGATCATTAAGTAATGGATTCGAATATCCCATTTCGTTAATCTTTTATTTTTGTATAGTCTGTCTCAATGCTCATACGAACTCCCTCCCCAATCAAACTTTTACTATGTTATTACCTAGTGTTATTGCGTAATGCCATTAACAAAAAAATTATTCTTACTTAAGCGACAAGGAAGGGGTGGACTAGGTATATTTCTTTCTTTCTGATCATCGTTTTTACAGTTATTTTACCAGAATATAATAATGTGACATGGAAGTTGTTTGTCGCTTGATGCAAAACAGGTTGTGAAAAATATACATTCAACTTTAATTGGTAGAGGAAAAATCGTAACTGTGAGAATGGTCTTTTCCGTACTATGCGCTACGCAGTCTACAAAGTCACTACGCGATTTTATATGTTTAAGGCTTTGTGCCCTAGAGTGAAGCATTGTTTTTCTATCGTGCTCCTGTGGACCACCATGGAACTTTCGCAAAATCTATATCATTTTATTGTACATGCACTTGGTATAAGGTGTCTTTCACGTCGCGCCGAACTTCGAAGTTACTGCACAGTTTGATAAATATTAAAAGAAAAATTACAAATAATAGCGATTTCCAATGATATTTTTTCAAATATTTCGCGAACCTTCTGTGATAGATGCAACCTGAAACTCTCTCTCGACACAGTTTACGATACTGATTAATTTATGATTCAAACAATGTTCGAAATAGAGGTTATAGCCCTGGATCTCCCATTTCTCCTGGTATATGAATTTTTCAAATAGAGCAAATGGTTTTGGAAATAATACTTGTTTTTTGAAGGCGTGCAGTACGTCCTAATAGTGAATGATGCCATCGCGTCGAGATTGAGGGCGAGAAATAGTGATTTTCATTTAGGTTTTTTCAAATATCTCGAACAGTAGATGTGATAGACGAAAACCGTTATTGCAAAAATTGTAGCCCTTGATGCATTGTACAATACCATTGAAACCAATTGGCCATATTTTTTGGGAATTTTGATTTACAACTCATAATTTACTCTGAAAAAGAACAATTTTCAGGATCTTTTAGATTTTTGTGTATAATTGCATAATTGCTATGCTCGGCAAATGTACATATCATGTTTAAAAAAAAGTTGGAATACAAATAAGTGAAAAATGTTGTTGCAGAAAAAAAATATTAACTATTAACATGAACTTTTATTTTTTAATTTTTGATTTTGTTTGTGGTGTTTTTGGCTACAATTTTTGTATTTACATACGAGATATTTGAAAAAATCTTAATGAAAATCACCATTTCTCGCCCTCAATCTAGACGCGATGACGTCATTTACAATCACCACGTACTGCATGGTTTCAGAAAACAAGTAGTTTTTTGAAAACCATTTACTCCATTGGAAAAATTCGTATACCAGGAAACTAAGGAGATCCAGAGCTATATAATCTATTTCGAACATTGTTGGAATTATATACAGGGTACGTCGTTTGTGGGCAAAAAATTGTAGTAGATTCTAGAAATTTCCGCTTTTGTGATTGAATTATTGGCGATACATTAAAAACTTTTAAAGATGTGATAATATGATATGAACGGTATAAAAATATAATTTTAAGTTGCAATTATCAGTACAAATTTTAATATTTACCGAAGTGTGCCGTTGTGAAGCACACTTTATACAGGGCGTATTCAAAATCAAGTTACATCGATTTGGCGAAAGTTCCATAGTGGTCCACAGGAGCAAGATAGAAAAACAATGTCTCCCTTTAGAACAATAATCCGCGAAGCGTCTTCTTTTTAAAATAAAAAGCTGATTCGCGCTATTTGCGACCAAATTGTTTAATACGTCCTCTATTGATTAAAGTTTCATACACATTTTTCACAACCTGTTTTGCATCATGCAACAAATGATTTCGATGCGATATTGTTATGTTCTCGTAAAGTTTTATTGGGGAGGGTCCTTCGAACGCCAACTCGATGAAGATCGCGCCTGACCTTACCTCAAATCTCAACCTCAAGATCAGCGCTACGGATCTAATCGCAAATACTACGTCTGTCAGCTACCAGGACAAACATTCTATTGACCTAAAAGCCCACATCGCTTCTATCCGTCCTTTTTCCTCCCGTCCGCACTCCGACTTTTAACAACCACTCATAATGCCGCATCGCACCGGCGGACCCTCATTCTGGAGTATCATAAGCACGCACACGAACACAAATTTACTCAAAAGTGATACGGCGATGGATCGGCGTCGCGACGCTATCGATTCGGCGTCGCTCCCCGCTCGTCGTGTACTGAAAATTTAGCCGATCAAGCTGAAATTTCAGGACTCTGAATTGACATGCGCCGTGCGTGGGAAAACCGGTCAAGGGAGGTTTTCCGTCTCTCTCTCTTTCTGGTGTCCCGCTCTACGGTCCGCGGATTTGAGTAAGTGAATTGGGCATTTTTTTTTTGCTGCTCAAAGAAAGTTTTCCGAAGGTCACGTTTAATAACGCCTGATCGGAATTTTCGCGGAATTGCGCTGTTGTTTTATATAGTATTTTGCCCAAAACTGTAAGCAGTCGATGTCTTGAAAGTGATTACAGTGAAAACTCCCATAGCGAAACTCTGTATTACGAACAAAATTTGTTGTACTATTAGGTCTCCATACACTCCATACACTGTGTAAAACGAATTTCTCACTCTATGTAAAGTGATGTGGGACGTCGATACGGATTTTGTTTCTGTTAAATACGAAAAATTCACATTAATTTTTAAAAAAATATATTTCTTTTTCAGAAAAGAAAAAACAATTTTTGGATTGGATTTTCAAAATAAAATGCTAATTGATTTTAAAGTATATATGGTTAATTTATACAAAATAAATTTCGGAATATTACATGGCAATTGTTTTGTAATTTAAAAAAATCTATTTTAATCCTATTAAAATTTACGCAAAAAAATGCAGTACTTATGATGTACACTGGCATTCGAAAAAACAATTTTTGGCAGTCCTAATAAAATACAAATTGTGATAGTCAAATTATTGCTAGAAACATAGTGGTCTTGGAAAATAATTAAATGTCCTAATCGACAAATGCCTTTATCGTCAGTTTAACGTCGGTTGGAATAGTTAATTAGATACCTGGAACTTTAATTTAGTCAGACATGTTGTTTGAAACTTTTACATGACATTACATGTCTAAAATTCAAGAATTTTTCCGCTTTTGCATTACAGAAAACATGCAACATGTGTATTGTTATTTTTCAAGTGTCTACAATCCTTTATAAGGAAAACTCTTTATAATGAAAAAAAAAAACAGTCCCTCCAATTTCGCAATATAAAGTTTCGACTGTATATATCTTTTATTTAGAATTACAGTTTTTTTTCTAGCTGAAATGAATTGCCTTCTCGAACATCAAAACGATTTTTTTTGGTCAAATGCACTGCACTTTCATTTCAAAATCGTTTCAGTTGCGCAGAAAGTTTAACTAATTTTACATTCTAAATATTCGTATAAAAAATAGATTTGCGAAACCATAACATCCAACGCAAATGAAAATTATTAAAAACCATTTCCACATAAAAACTTCATTACTTTCTGTTATTCAAGGCTTCCAATTACTAACATAATAAGATAAATGGTAAATGCGTACTGCTATAAAATAATAATGATATAAATAATTTTACATAACTGATCTCAGCTAAACGAAAGTTAAGCCTAATTATACAGGGTGTCTAAATTCTCATGGGCCACTGGGCCACTTCTTCAGTTAATCGTCATAACATGCATAATTATTCAACAGTTAATCTATTCTGGGTACGAGAAGTACAAGTAATGTGGAATAAAACACTTTAAACTTATTGAGAATTTTTAAATAATCATTACCCACAGAATTGTATCGGTAGAAGTGGATTCATTGGATGGCCAGTTCGTTCATGTGACTTAAGACTACTAGATTGCTTTTTGTGAGAATATGTTAAAGATAAATTTTGGTCGATGTGAATCGCCAGCATCAAGATGGCGTACCTCCGCATAATGTCCAACCGGTTACCTGAATATTTGTGACATTTTTTTGAGGGGATAGTTAAAAAATAAAATTTATTATAATAGGAAGTTTACAAGTGATAAGAGAAAGACTTAACATCGTTTTACAAGACCTAAAGAAAGAAAATGATGGAGGTTATGTGGAAAATGTTTAGCATTAATTAGTTATTGATATTTGTAATAATATAATTTTATTATTTGGCGTTTTTCTTCCTCAGTATCATTTGAAATATCTTAAGTTGCAGATCTTTAGTTTTGATTAGCTATCAAAAATAGAAAATTGTTAAAACAATTGCAAACATAGATAATATGGTTGCCATCAAGGCAGACTTTACCATTTTTAAACAATATGGCTATTGTCCAAAAATCGAATGATAATTATTTTTAAACTGAAATATCTCAAAAACGGCTCAATGAAATGTCAATAAGCTAAATGTTTATGAAATCAAGAAAATAAGATCTACGATTTAAGCTAATAATATAAAAAAAATGATGTTGCTGTCATTTTGATAGCTTGCGATCATCGTTTGTTTTTTCTGACAGTTGTATAAGATAATAGAGAGTTGTTTATTAACTACGTCTTAGTTGGACAAAGAAAAAACATCCTGTATATTAGAACGAGAAAGGAGAAGTTCTTCTCGCGTTTTAGTCGAAAGTTAATTTCGACAATGAAAAAATTCCTTCGTCGAAAACGAATTAAATTTTCTTCAACTGCAATTGAAGTTACTGCTTTCGCGATTTAATAATCAGGGCTCTCTGGAGGAGACTCGGGCGTATACATATTCAGCGGTTCGACATTTCTTTCAGCACCTCTTTAAATTAGTTCGGTTTTGCTTTACGAACTCAAAATACGGAGCGAGGCGGCGGTCTCCTTCGAAAGCTCGCGAAAATATCGCGTTTCGTACGGCTTTAGGCAAGTGGCTTCATTATCGCGGAGTTTTCGATTCCCGAGGAAAATCCTTTGTTTTCCTCACCTTTTGCCAACTGGGTGGTCGAGTTACCACGACTTGAACAACTTGAACGGCCCTGAGGCAGGCCGGTAGTTGTGCCCCTCGTGGTGAAATTTTTGTTAAATTAATACCATAGGCACTGCCTATACTGACAGTACAGAAACTACGAAGCTACGTAAAATTTATTTGAGAAGGTCCATTCAACGTGTCAATTTTTTTAAATATATTTTTAGAAATAAGTTCACACAATTGTTTAAAAAGAAGTTTATTTATTATCATTTTATAGTAATTTTAGTACTAATTAAATGAAATGCCAATGAAAATATAAAAAAATGTAGTTAATATCAGTAAATCTTTTTGTTATATAATATAATTTCCTAATACTGGGTTTTTTTGCAACTTTTACACAAATAAATATTCTTTTTATCAAAAATATAATAACAAAATGAACTAATTTGGTAAAAATATGTCAACATCTAAGTTTTGTTTTTACAAAATTTGATATTCGACAGGATTCGCTCTACTGATAATCTCAATATAATTGTTGGAGTATTAATCACGAACATATAACATTTATCTGCTACGATTTGCTTCCAAGGTAGCTATGGAATTAACAAAAGTTGAGCATAAATTTTTTTTCAACTTTAAAACAATTTTTTTCATATTAGAAATTTCACCAAAATTTTTTTCACAAAATTATCTTAAAATAGACATATTTGCCATATGGTGTAAACTTTAACGCGGGCACTATATTATATAGGGGGTCCCAATTGCCATGCCATGGGCTACTATTGCTATCTCGGTTGGTCAAATGAGATAAAACGTACAGTAAATCTAAAAAAGTATAATTTTGACAAATAATTCAAATTGAATTGACAATAATGACAAATAACACATTAATTGTTGTAGTTAGTATTTTTTAATTTGACCAACTTTGTACTTCTTATAGTTACCAAGATAGCCACAGGGGCCCATGAGAATTTAGACACCCTGTATAATTAGGCTTAACTTTCGTTTAGCTGAGATCAGTTATGTAAAAATTATTTATATCCTTATTATTTTATAGCAGTACGCATTTACCATTTATCTTTTTATGTTAGTATTTGGAAGCCTTGAATAATGAAGTAATGAAGTTTTTAGCTGGAAATAGTTTTGGTTAGTTAAACTTTCTGTACAACTGAAACTATTTTGAAATAAAAGTGTAGTGCATTTGCACAAAAAAAATCGTTTTGATGTTCGAGAAGGCAATTCATTTCAGCTAGAAAAAAAATCGAATTCTAAATAAAAGTTATATACAGTCGAAACTCTATATTGCGAAATTGGAGGGACTGCTTTTTTTTTTCGTTATAAAGAGTTTTCCTTATAATGGGTTGTAGGCACTTGAAAAATAACAATACGCATATATAGACCATAAAATGTATTTATATATATGCATATGTTAGGTTTCTTGGGATGCAAAATTAGAATACAATATTTTTTATTTGACGTTTCGGTACAGAAGCGACCTTCCTCAGAAAAAAATAACCCAAAAATTACATTTAAGAAGGAGATCAGTCTGTATAGGATAAATCTTACCTAGACAGTTAGAGTCAAAGTGACGGAGCATTATATTACTGTCCAATTATTAAAATCGTGGGTCATGTACCTAGAATTTTGTTTTTTTTTTCCTCATTACTTTTTATTAATTGAAAAAATTATTTTTTATATATGACAACTCACCCTTGTGTGACACAATCCAAAATAAAATGTATATAAAACGACTCACGCACATGGAACAGTGGTTCACAATACTAAAATGAACACAAGGGGAGTAGAAACCCATCGAATTCAAATAAATAAAGTTGTTTTGTTTTGTTTTGTTTTTTTTTTATATTATATATTTATATAATATAAAATATATAATATATTTTTCCTTTTTCCCTCTTTTCTCAAATTTTTAGATTATATTTTTCTGAGGAAGATCACTTTTGGACCGAAACGTCTTGTAAGATATTTTTTAACTTTTAAATCAATATCAGTCCGAATACCGTTGTTAGAGAGGTAGTTTCTCATTCACCCTCTTCAAAGAAAAAATGTTGATCTCCTAGTACTAATATTTCCCACGGCCATCACAAAGGTGATTTCTTCGTAAAAATCGAGATTCCTCAATGAAGAATGATCCAAATATTTCGTTTATTTTGAACACCCCGTAGCATCCAATCCAAATTCCGTTGCATATCTTTTACGTCATCATCGAATAACGCTATCAAATATGACCTTCAAAAATAATGATGTTTTTGAAAGTGTGAAAACTAGTAT